ACTTGTGCTTAAGAGCAAGTCAGTGTTGCATTAAACTAGGGTGGAGTTTAATAGATCATATTTGCACAGGCAGGCAACAATACTTTCAAGCCAACACGTTATGAATAATTTTTTTGCCTTTTGGCAAGTGCTGATAGGGGTCCCCCTGGTGTAAAGGGCTTCCCAGAGGCATACAGCAGCAGTAACAATTGATCACTTTATTGATGAGTCCAAATGAGGACAAAACATCCAGCAGTTTTCTTTTGGTTGCACAGTCTACCTATTGGGATGTCACATTCTTAATGGTTTCTGTCACTCATAGGTGGAGGTTGACTTCTATATTCGGAGGGCAGGGGGGCACGGGTTCGCTTTGTCCCTCACATTAGGAATAGCGGGTGCATACAATTAATGTATTTTTAGTCTGAATTCTAAATTAGTAAAGGTGGCCTCCTCGTACCCCCCACCCCACAAACTCTGCCCTCCTCATATGGTGTCACCCCTTCAGCTATTTTGAGCTCTTATTTATGCAGCGGGTAGAGTGACTAACATACATGTACACATTTACATGTATGCGCGCACTGTTTGCTACATGCGCTGCAGTGTGATGGGCCACGGACAATATGATGAGGCCATGACGCCCACACCGGAATGCCCTGGCCCACCTCTCTAAACTCCTTGAACGACTAGCCCTCGCCCAGCTACAACCACACGTCACCTCCTCCGCAAACTACTGCAACTTCCAGTCAGCTTACCGTCAAAACTATTCCACAGAAACAGCACTCACTAGGGTGCTCGATGACATTTTAACGATCGTTGATTCCGGCTCAACTGTTGCACTTGTAAGTCTGGACATTTCGTCAGCCTTCGACACCATCAACCATTCGCTCCTTACTTCCCTCCTGAAATCCGACTTCGGTATATGCGGCTCAGCACTCAAGTGGATAGCTTCGTACCTTTCTGACCGGCAATCCTCAGTCAGGGTGGGCATGTCCACATCGCCTGAAACAAGAGCATTATGCGGGGTTCCCCAGGGCTCTGTTCTAGGTCCCCTGCTCTTCACAGCCTACACTTCCCCGATCGGCCGACTCATTGCAAGCTTCGGTGTTAAGCATCACTCATACGCGGATGACACGATTCTATTCACCGCCATCGATTCTAGCAATTCTTCTGGATTCGAGAGGCTCTCGGAATGTACCACCGCCGTGCAACAATGGTTCACTGCACACAACCTAGCCCTTAATCTGAAAAAGTCAGTGGCCATCATGTTAGGTACCAAGCAACGTCTCAATTCAGCAGCACTCCCCACACACATACACATCTTCGGTCATAGCATCAAGTTCACCAACCACTTCAGCTACCTCGGTGTCATCCTAGATTCAACTTTATCCTTCGACCGTCAAACCAACCATATCATCAGCTCATGTAACTTTCACCTGAAGGCTCTTAGACACATACGTCCTCTCATCTCTACTGAAATTGCCAACACTTTGGCATGTTGCATAGTTGGGTCTCGCCTTGACTATTGTAACTCCGTCCTTGTCCGGACCTCCGCTGGCAACCTAAGGAAGCTTCAAAGACTACAAAATAACCTAGCACGCGTCGTCATTGCCCACACTCATCCCCGCCTCGACTCACTAGCTCGTCTCCGCGCTCTCAACTGGCTCCCCATTGCCAGTAGGGTCACATACAAGACCGCCTGCCTCTGCCACAATGCCTTCATATCCGCCTGCCCGCCGTATCTTTCTTCATTACTGACAACTTGCAGCTCAGCACACGGCAGATGCCTGCGCAGCGCGACTCACGACCTCCTCTCAATACCAAGATCCAGGATGGTCATGTCTACGCGCCGCTTCTCGGTGGCAGCCCCAACAGTCTGGAACGATATCCCTCTGCACATTCGCAGCATCACCTCAATCGCCTCCTTCAAGAGACACTTAAAAACTCACCTCTACAATCATGCTTTTGAGCGACTCTGAGCTTGGCTCCGCGCCTCTGAGTTGCGGCCACTACGTCTGCAAATTTGCGCGCGTTACAAATTGTACTATTATATATTATTATTATTAGTTCACTACTGGTTGAAGGGATTTTTGTCCAGCACAGCGCCCTATCCATTCCTCTTGGCTAATTGAAGATACACATTTCTCTTGAACTGCGGTGGAATGATTTTTTTTCCCAAAAAGTTTCCACCAGCGAAACGGTTGGGAAAATGTGAAAACGAATGATGGATGTCTTGGGCCCTTGGACTTTTGTGTATGATATAGGAGTGTTATTTCAGACTTTATCTTGGGCATGTTATCAATTTGCGGTGGTGAGGCTGACCACTGGGGCATTGAGATGAGTTTCCTACAACTAAGTTGCCCGTGATGGTTTCGGCAAGAGTGATGTTTTACTAACTGGCTGGACTTTAACAAAGCGTTTTAAATATAACTTTATGACATTTGATTACAAGTGTGGATGATGCTACAAATGTTATGGAAGTGTAGGGAGGTTCCAGATGCGTGCTTGTTCATTTTTTGGTGTTTGTTGAACGGACTGATACGTGGCAAATGCCCCGATCCACCATCGTCGCTGCCTGTCCCTTCACCCTTTCCTGCCATTCCCCTTCAGCCCTTATAGCTAATCGCTTTCCACCCCTCCTGCTGTTCGCATGACAAGGGGAGCAGGGAGGAAGGGAAGGTGTATATCGGCGACCACTGGACTGGTGCTTGTTCGAGATTATGTAATCAGCGTGCGTTTCCAACAACGGCTTGTGAAGCAGAGACTAGGGGTGGTTCGGGCAGTTTAACCATTCACAATCCCTTTACGTGCTTGCATGCAGGGATGAGCGGTTAATTGTTAAACTTAATTTCGGGAAGTGCTTTGCAAGATCGCACAGAGGAATAAGCAAAAGTAAGCTTAGAAAAGCAAGTAAATTCGGAATAGAATATGGAAGGACAGTGTTGGAAATGTAATCGGGACGAGGAGGTTGTGATGGATAGGCCATATGCGCAGGATGGAATGAGACAGGATTCAGGTATTCCCCTTGGTCAGGGATCAAGAGGAAGACCTACATCCCAATGTTGGTGAACTATAAGAGCAGGCCTTGGAGGTCAGATTTACCGCGCAACAACCGTATGACCTAGCAGACAAACAGAAGGGATGGTGAATTGAAGTCGCATTCGTGACATTGGGCCAAGATTAATTCTTGACACTCTTGACCTTGAATTCAAACGACGCATTTTTTAGAATTGATTGTAATCATTGATACCACTGTAGTACTCGTACATTTAGCTCCATTGTCGGTATTTTAAACACCGTTTGGACAGACCCTGTGTATACTACTGTACGCAATACTACAGGCGTGCACGATGTTTACCGGTGATTGCCCTTTGTGACTGTGAAAAAAAGAACATTTCCAGTAAGTTTTAATTTTGTTAAATGATTGGTCAGTACATAATAGGGAGCAGTCCGGGTTATCGCGCTTTGTGTTGCACCGTTTCCAATAACACCGGACGAGGGGGCTGCTTGCCTTTAAAAAAAAAACTCGCTCTCATCCATAATCCACTCCCACGTCCATTGATTTCCGTTGATTGAAATCATTCGTTCTTGTGCCTTGTGTTTTTTTGTCTTGTGAAGTTTAATGGTTGCCCTTGTATTTTTTTTGGAATATTTTTTTATCTAAATATATTTTACACATACACACTGCACGTGAAGGGAATTCGGGAATCCCACCGCTGGTCTAATGTCGGAATTCAATCGTTACGGTTATATAAATGCTGCTGTTGTGTATAAAGCTTGTTTTAATAATCTATTTTTGGAAATTCACAGAGGAATGAAGGGCCCTATTCCCATTCTACTTCTTCCAGCCATTCATGTTTGTTTTCCCGTCTGTTCATTGATTACATCACTACACATCCATTTTAGTCACTCCTCCATCGATTTCCTCCGATCTTTACCCAATTTCACCACCAGTTTCAGCAATAAGTTTTCATCCTTTATAGCGATCCAAGTAATCACCGCCATTACCATTTATTATGTCCACAGAATCTTCTATTTAAAAATATATAATACAGCTTATGGCCATGATAATGGCTTCTCTTTGTAGTTTAAGCATTCCACGGTTCAAATCCAATATCAGCCCCTTGAAAAGGAAATGTAGCAACATCACATAGATACATGACTGACTAACTTGGCTGAATGTTAAAGAACCAGTCACGTTGTTATCAGGTTTGAGTCAGTGAAATTGTGTTTATGGTCAAATTTGGAGAGTGACCTGAATCACTATGCAGTATTACCAGATGTTCATTTCCAAGTGCATGTTGGCAATGGAAATCATATGCATAGTGTCTTCAGAAAGTCATGTTTGGATACTGTATGAATCCTATTTTATTATGCAAAGCTCAGAAACAGCATTGCTGCCTTATAATGATTGTTAGAGCGTTTTTGTAACAATGATATAAACATATCACATAAAATATAAATATACAGACTAAAGCAAAGCACCTCAAATACATGCTTTTAAGTGCTATGTGTGACAATGCTCATTTTATTTAGGTATATTTCCAAATGTTCGAGCAATGGCATAGTGTTTAGAGCACTCCACTATAAACCTTGTGGTGAATTAGATCTGAGCCAGTCCTTGGCCCTCTCTTCACAAACCCGCACTGACCCGTGTGGCAAATTATGGTCAAACAACCCTCAATGTGACATGGTATGGGTAGGCCCTCATCTAGCAGTAGATGACAAACGGACCGTGAATTATTATTTACTAAATTATTATTTACTACATTTAATTGGACTTTTTCATAAAACCATCCCCATAAAACTCTCCAACACACCGGAGTGCTGAACTAGGAACTTATTGGCATGTGTTTTTACGTGACAAACCTTCCTAATTGACTGTATCGGGTGGTGGTGGGTTTAACAACACATGTATACTTACGTGATCTGACGCAAAAAAAACCTCTTGTTGAAAACCTTCCCCGTAAACATGTTAAAATTAGCTACATCCAGAGTGGCTGTTGTCTGTTTTTTTCACACAGAGAAGGACGTGGGCCTACGCGTGGAGGTGACTTGGCCTGATGGGTACTTCTTCTCGAGAAACCTGCGCAGAGATGAAATGAACTCACTGATTGAGATCCCCTACCCCGACGGAGAGAGCCAGCAGGACAGCGAGAGCAAACCACAGGTAAACGACACGATTGGTTTGATTGATCCACTGATTATATTTGTTTTTTGTCGGGTTATAAACATTTAGCCTTAAACTACTTTTTTGTCAGAATGACCCGCAGAGGTCATTGGTTAAACAAAAGGAAGTTACAGCAGCGAATAAATCATAAGATTGCAGATGCTGAGCAGCAAACACATTCCAGGAAAACAACATTCAAGCACTAAAATGGCACGAGGTGCTTGATTTGGGAGGCATAATACACATTTGAATTAATGTCTGAGTTTAAATTCACAATGTACCTTCCACATTGTTTCCCAAACAAATGCGTGTTTGAGGGAAAATCACATTTGATGCCGTAGCGTTTTCCCACGCACATTTCCATTCACTACATCGAGGATTCAAATACCCTCAACGCTCTGAGGCCTGCCGACCAGGGAGTATGCAGGAGTAGCCGTCCTTAGCTTCTCAAGTTACTTAAGACCGCTTGTGCTCAGAGCGATGTGGCTGGAGGTGAAACGAGAGCCGCTTGCTTGTCTATAACTCACGCACTGTTCAAAATCTGCCTGCGCCAAACCGGGCACGTCACCAGGGTGCAAGAAGAAAATTGTAGAGGTTTTTTTTATTCTTCTACATTTGGTCTGTTGAAATGTTTTCTATTTTTTTAAATCTCGATTCAAATGGACAAACAACGCTCAGGGATGCTAGCCCAATTGACGTTTTTTAATATCTTGAGCTGTAGGAGTTGACCATTCATGGTCCTATCTCGATAATTCCAGAAAGAAAGTTGTAAGCATGGAATGAACACATTACCAAGGCTGTACTAATTGACTCTTCTCGATTCTAAATAGATTTTTAAAAATGCAGGATAAAACTGATCATACCGTTTCTGTCATTATCTCTATATATGACGGTATTTTTAAGCTCAAGTGCCTTGAAACTTTTTTGTAAAAGGCATTTTGTGAGTGCAAAGTATTGTTATTATCAAAAATTTGGTGCAATTGTGAATACGCTGGAATAGAAGATGTGTTTAGGGAAATTGTGTTTCTCATCTAGAGTAGCACTCTGGATAAGGCGGTATGACCTGTTAATAGTTTTACAACCTGAAATAAAATGTATTCCTTTGCTCCATTACATTTGTCTCACATTAAGAAATAATTTGCATAATTTTAACAATCACTTCATAGCGCAATTGGACATACTGTAATACTGGCAATGGACTGGAGAATACTTACTGATAGTGCTGAACTATCTTACGTGAAATTAATGATGACATCAACGTCATGTTTGGTCTGCTCATGACGACTAAGGGACTCGTTAGCAGTAAGAGGCCTCTCTACCAGATTAGCGAGATGTTAATTACCTCACCTGGTATACAGGAGGTCGTGGGTTCGATCCTGACCCTGACGCCTGCTGTATATTTGGAGTTTGCACGTCTCTCACTCTCCATGGCTGCGTGGACTTTTTTCTGTGTCCTCCGGTTTTTCCCTCCACATTTAGAATCAACGCATGTTTAGAGTATTTGGCTCTTGTAAATTTGCACATGATAAACCACTTCGTTGAGCTATCATTTGTAGCCAGGTCGCTTCTGAAATAAAGATGTTTAGCTCAGTTCGCGTTACCTGATGAAATAAATAAGAGTTGTAGTTTAGTTTGCAGCTCAAGCTGAGTGCATATGATGTGTGCCCACTGCCGCACATTGCTTCTGCTTCTACGAGGCTGTAATGCACAGTGTCGTGGGCAGAATTTGGCGAGGGATTATAGCGAACAATCTCGCCTTGACTCTTGAATGATGATTTATATTTTGAGTGAACTGCGAGGATTGACTCACACCAGATACAGTTAAACACTTACATTGAAGATACAAAACATCAGCAACAAGTGCCTCATGATTTGTTTCAGGCACGTGTATATGCCTATTAGCTGTTAAAAAACTGAAGGTAAATGATCTTGTATAAAGATGTCAGCTCATTTTGGAACAATTAGAAAAATATACACTTTTTAGCTGCAATTGTGTACTTGCATTTACTATTCTTGAGTGTTTTGAAACACAGTGGTTTTTCAACAGTATATAGTATGCGGTGTGTGACTTCATGAGACTGGAGTAACAGCTGTGCAAACACGCATGGAGCAGGACGTACGCAGATACGGAGACGTGAAGAGAGCGTGCAAGCACCCATTCTTATAAAATGTAATCTCTGCATGTCATTTTCAGGCAATTTTTCTGAATTTTTCTGGTATCAAAATGTTGGGGATTTCTGGAGAGTTCAGAGGGATACAATGCAAATTGTCAGTAATACACCGGCAGAAAGTTTCAGCACATTTGTAGAAACTTTTTCTTCTCATGCCCACCCTAACCTGGGCCACTCCATAATTGCCGTACGCTTGGGCCATATGTGGATTGTCAAATTTTGGAATCGGTCTGATTCCAAAGAACACAGGATGAGATGTTACTATCCTTTGTGCAAGCACTTCCAAGAGTTCATGAACAGTGAGCCTGGTGAAATTTGGGGAGCGCATCGTCAGTAGTGAACCTAGCACATTTCACCAATACAGTGAGGGAAAAAAATATTTGATCCCCTGCTGATTTTGACAAAAAAATGATCAGTCTATAATTTTTATGGTAGGTTCATTTGAACAGTGAGAGACAAAATAACAACAACAAAATCCAGAAAAACGCATGTCAAAAATGTTATAAATTGATTTGCATTTTAATGAGGGAAATAAGTATTTGACCCCCTCTCAATCAGAAAGATTTCTGGCTCCCAGGTGTCTTTTATACAGGTAACGAGCTGAGATTGGGAGCACACTCTTAAAGGGAGTGCTCCTAATCTCAGCTTGCTACCTGTATAAAAGGCACCTGTTCAAAGAAGTATTCAATCAATCAGATTCCAAACTCTCCACCATGGCCAAGACCAAAGAGCTCTCCAAGGATGTCAGGGACAAGATTGTAGACCTACACAAGGCTGGAATGGGCTACAAGACCATCGCCAAGCAGCTAGGTGAGAAGGTGACAACAGTTGGTGCGATTATTTGCACATGGAAGAAACACAAAAGAACTGTCAATCTTCCTCGGCCTGGGGCGCCATGCAAGATCTCACCTCGTGGAGTTGCAATGATCATGAGAACGGTGAGGAATCAGCCCAGAACTACACGGGAGGATCTTGTCAATGATCTCAAGGCAGGTGGGACCATGGTCACCAAGAAAACAGTTGGTAACACACTAAGCCGTGAAGGACTGAAATCCTGCAGCGCCCGCAAGGCCCCCCTGCTCAAGAAAGCACATATACATGCCCTTCTGAAGTTTGCCAATGAACATATGAATCATTCAGAGGACAACTGGGTGAAAGTGTTGTGGTCAGATGAGACCAAAATGGAGCTCTTTGGCATCAACTCAATTCGCTGTGTTTGGAGGAGGAATGCTGCCTATGACCCCAAGAACACCATCCCCACCGTCAAACATGGAGGTGGAAACATTATGCTTTGGGGGTGTTTTTCTGCTAAGGGGACAAGACAACTTCACCACATCAAAGGGACGATGGACGGGGCCATGTACCGTCAAATCTTGGGTGAGAACCTCCTTCCCTCAGCCAGGGCATTGTAAATGGGTCGTGGATGGGTATTCTAGCATGACAATGACCCAAAACACACGGCCAAGGCAACAAAGGAGTGGCTCTAGAAGAAGCACATTAAGGTCCTGGAGTGGCCTAGCCAGTCTCCAGAACTTAATCCCATAGAAAATCTGTGGAGGGAGCTGAAGGTGCGAGTTGCCAAACGTCAGCCTCGAAACCTTAATGACTTGGAGAAGATCTGCAAAGAGGATTGGGACAAAATCCCTCCTGAGATGTGTGCAAACCTGGTGGCCAACTACAAGAAACGTCTGACCTCTGTAATTGCCAACAAGGGTTTTGCCACCAAGTACTAAGTCATGTTTTGCAGAGGGATCAAATGCTTATTTCCCTCATTAAAATGCCAATCAATTTATAACATTTTTGACATGCATGTTTCTGGATTTTTTTTGTTGTTATTCTGTCTCTCACTGTTAAAAAAAACCTACCATTAAAATTATAGACTGATCATTTCTTTGTCAGTGGGCAAACGTACAAAATAAGCAGGGGATCAAATACTTTTTTCCCTCACTGTAATGACCAATAAAATAGGCCCTTGTAATGGGCTTATACCTGGCCAAACTTCATGTTCTAACTCGCTCAACCATAGGACAGTGTTTACACTATGAGACCTCCTTTACCTGTGTCAAAATATAGTAATAGCGTTTTACACTTTTAACTGGTACAAAATCTGACCTTTATACAAGGCATCATGTTTGCAATAACCTCAACACAATACCATTATCATCATCAGAGTTGTTTCTTTTGTTTGCATTTTGACTTCTTGTGTTGAGGTTATTGCAAACATGATGCCTTGTATAAAGGTGTCAGATTTTGTACCATTTAAAAGGGTAAAAACCTATTACTATATTTTGCCATTGGTAAAGGAAGTCTCATAGTGTAAATGCTTACCCCGAGCTCTCAATACTCTGATAGTGCGCTATCTTTGAGTTGTACGCCTTTTGGCGTCATCTGGTCCAACACCAATGGAGACTAGGCTCTAAAGAAAGCTGTCTCGGGTGTGGACCAATCAACTTCAAGGACAGTGCATATCATTATCATCATCAGAGTTGTTTCTTTTTGTTTGCATTTTGACTTCTTGTGTTGAGGTTATTGCAAACATGATGCCTTGTATAAAGGTGTCAGATTTTGTACCAGTTAAAAGGGTAAAAACCTATTACCATAGGACGGTGATTCATAGTTTCCCATCCATGCACTCACACCTTATTTGTGATCATTAATATTTTATTTGGTTGAATATTAATTGCATTATAATAAGTATGCACGAATAGCAAATGAAAAGAAAAGCACCGCGGAAGGGCAATTACATGTAAAAGCCACTCTGTGAGCAATTTTAAAATCCCGAACCGGATCACTTGTTTCTTGGGCCACCTGTGATGATTAAAAGCACTT